GTTCCTTCTGTTGGCATAGGTTTTTGTTTGTTCTTCTTTTCTGGTTATTTAAGACCTACATGTTCTTTTGCAATGAGACTTCACTGTCCCTTCATCAAGAGTTAGGGTCCATATCCTCTTATCCTGAATGTGTGGCCCTGTGACCCAATATGGCCAAGTGAATGTGGTGAAAGTTATGTTGGGTGCCTTTCAAGGCAAGGCCTTTAGCCATTGCAGTCTGCATTTTCTTCTTGAAATCTAGCTTCCGTACTGTGAGGAAGTCCAGGCAGCCATATGGAGAATCCACGTGGAGAACTGAGGACTCCACCAAGCTTCCAGCAGCCAGCAGCCACCCACACGGCAGTGAGGCCATCTTGGACCTTCTAGCCATTCCAGAGCCCCAGCAGATGCCATGTGAAGCAGTACTGCTTGATCAAGACACAGAATTGTGAGAAATGATAAATAATTCTTTTCTTTTAAGGTTATTTATTTATTTTGAGAGAGACAGAGAGAGCACAAGCAGAGGAGGAGCAGAGAGAAAGTGGGAGAATACAAAGCAGGTTGTGCATGGTCAGCACGGAGCCTGAAATAGGGCTCCAATCCATGAAACTATGAGATCATGACATGAGCCAAAATCAAGTCTCAGACACTTATCAGACTGAGCCATCCAGGTGCCCCTAAATAGTTACTTTCAGCCATGAGGCTTAGGGATGACTTATTACACAGCTGTGGAGGACTGAAACAGTAACCCCAGAGCTTCTCCTCCTACCGGGACCCCCTGAACCAGAAGGTTCAGGGAGGATTGTGGGAGGAGATGGCTTCAAGTACTCTATGTGAGTTCTTCACATGTGCTCAAGCTGAAAGAGCATTTCTGAATATGAGAAACGCTTTTGGGTTGCTGGTAGAATTTGTCGTGTCTGACAACTGCAAAGGGAGCAGAGCTAGGCAGTCTGGAGTTCAAAAGCCACGTCTGCTGTTTGGTGGTTGGTTGTACGATCTTCAGCAAAACACTTCCACTCTCTGAATCCCAGTGTGTTCAATAGGAAATGTGGGTATTTAGCAGGGCCTTTTAAAGGATTTAGTGGAAAAACTAAATTCAATGGGTCAAGCACGTTCAATGCTGCTATTGCTGATACTTCTCCATTTCCTTTTTTACCCCGCCTACAACATAACAGGAGTCCCACAGGACAGGTGAAAGTGGGTATGTTAAACCTTCGAGTGATTTCAGCATATTTACCAGTCTTAAACCCGGAAACTGAAGGAGGGACAAAGTGCCTCAATAACCTAGGGAAAAATTTTTTGAGACTTTTGGAAATATAGCAGACTTGTTGAAACACCATAGAATCAGCTACATGCATCATGAAATATAAATTTATGATTCTAGTTTTTATCTTGAAAGGGATAAAATTGCAAATTATTTTTCAAGATTAAAAAAAATCAAAGATTAACTGTATTAGAACTAAAATAAAATATTTAAAAAATCAAAGAAAAAACAGCCTGTAAACCATGACATGGAGAATTACATTATATGACCTCCTGCCCTCACCACCACCTGACAAACACCCCATATGTATGTATACATGTACGCATGTACGCATGTATATATGCACACATGCCTGTGCACACATGCGCATATGCACAATGTAATTGTGTGTGCATCTTTACGTGTGTCTTCATGCACGTGTGCAGTATGGGTGTGTATTTTACACTGCCCTAGGCCCAAGGGGCTGATGAATCATCGAAGTTAGGGAGTGAGAACACTTAGCCTGCCCTACCTCTGCCATGCACTTGGCATACAACCTTTACAGCAGATGTCTTTGGGGTATCAGCAGAGCTCACACAGTATACAATTTGCTCCCATCTCCCATCCTTACATGCAGCCAAGTTTCTATTATGTGAGGCCCCTGCCGACACAACAGCTAATTCTGCTAAATTGGACAACTGACCCACAGTGGACCAATCAGATTCTTTCCTCCAGAAACCTGGATTAGGGATTGAAGACAGCCAGCCAATTTATATGTCTGGAACTGCAGTGTGAATGTGAGCGCTCTCTGAGAGCCAGGGCCAAGAACACCAAGCAGACCTAAGAAGTGTGGCAAAAAGAGAATTCCTGAGTTCTCCAGGGCTTTCTACAGCCTTGTTTCTAGCCCAGCTTTATCTGTCCCTTTGGATTCCATGGAATACCCCTGAATCCTTATAATACATTCTATTTATGTGTCTGTTTGTTTGAAGTAACTGAGATTGGTTGCTGCTTCTAACCAAAACTTCCTTATAAGATACTTATCTTCATTATGTTTCTATTTCTTCACTTAAAAAACAAGGAAGTTTGATCAGACACCTTCCTAGTTCTAATTTACATTAATGGTACCTTCCTGGAGGCTGCCTCCAACATGATGCTAGGGTTTTGCTTACGTTTCGGAGAGAGGTGGGAAAAGACATTGCAATATTTTACTGTGTAAGTTGCTTCTCCAGAAGTTATACAAAGGTAAAAGCTCACTTCCTCCAGAGCATGCCAGCTAGACAGAGTTCATCTTTATATATATCAGATAAAGTCTATACTCACTAATGGAAATAAAAATGTCTGAGTGGAAAGGAATCTTTGCAAACAGAATCCGGATAGAATATGTTTTTTCAGATGAGAATTTGGGGTATGACCCCATAAACATAAAAACTTTCCTGTATCTATATCTTTTATTTTTTTAGTTTATTTATTTATTTTGAGAGAGACAGAGAGAGAGAAAGAGAGCATGTAAGAGAGAGCATGCGTGGGGGAGAGGCAGAGAGAGAGGGAGAGAATCCCAAACAGGCTCCATGCTCTCATGGAGCTTGAACACACTGTCACGTTTGACGCTCGAACCCACAAACTGTAAGATCATGACCTGAGCCAAAATCAGTCAGACACTCAACTGACTGAGCCACCTAGGTACCCCTCTATATCCTTTATATACTCTAAATTATAAAGTCCTATAAATTATATATTATATAATGAATTACATACTTATATTGTTAAGTATGATTTTGTTACTATAAACCTTGTCTTCCTAATTCAATTAAATATTCTTCCAGAGTAGAGGTCAAAATGTGTACTTCATGCTGTGAATCCCTATTGTGCCCAGCCCCATTTTTGTTATGTGGTAGTTACTCTTGAAAAACATGCAGTTAAGTTGCGTTCACCACCCAAATAAACCAAGGTTTAAAGATGCTCTTACCTCACTGAAATTCTTAGGATAAGTGTATGCCTAAGTGTATATATTTCCTGGCTAAAGGGACAATTGATTAAATAAATGAATGATGCCAACAAATATTCATTGAGCTCATGCTAAGTATCAGAAAAAGTATACTCACTCACCCCACTGCCAGGTGCCCACAGCTCTTTTCTGCAAGAGCAATGAACAAGGAAATGGAGGTGAGCTATTTCTGACAGAGGTTTATCTATGCATCCCAGAAGAATACTTTATACCCAGTAAATGCCATATTAATCCAGATCACTGAAGAAACAGATGGGATTATATGTACAAGGATACATAAGGGGAAACACCTTGTGAGGGAAAATAGGAAAGAAGCTGAAAAGGGCTAGGAAAGCCACTAGACCATGATGCCAGTCTGACTCTGAGTGATGGAGAGCAGGGAAAAAGCCTGGATGAAAGTCTCCTGGACTGCTATGCAGTCTGAGGAAGGTTGAAAAAAGCCATAGGAGTCCCATGGCTCCCAGAAACAGACCTGCCTTGATATTGTGCCCAGCTCAGTCACTGACTGAGAGCAGTCCATGGGAGGCATGCTCTTGGTGCAAAATGACGATGAATTTCAGAGTGGAGCAGCTGGGGTCCCTGATCAATTACACCCCCCGTCGTTGGCAATCTGCAATGCATGACCACCACAGATACTCATATTTTTGCTTCATTGAATTGATGATTTTACCTGAAAGAGCCACATCCCTCTTCTTTTCTTACAATGTCCATTCTCACCATGACAGAAGAGGTTATAGATCTCAAGAGGTCAGCAACCCTAGCCATTCAATTTTACAGTCTGAAAATCCCCATTAAGAAGTCCATTAGGAAGCTTCCAGGAGCCATGCTTTTTACAACCTCAGAAAGTGCATCTGACGAATGAGCATTTCCATGGTATCACCAAGATTTGTTCTCTGAGAAATATAAGGGCGCAACAGAAGTAGATATATGTGTGACAGAGAAAGACAGACAGACAATGGCCTATTAAGAATTTGCTCTAGCTAAGCTTTCAATGTGAGTATTTCAGTACTTACCCTGTTTTGATTAAAGTGAAAAAAACAGAGATAATGCAGCCAAATTCACTTAATATCAAGTCACTAATATAAAATCTATTTCATGGATTTTTTTCATCCAGACTCTAAGCAATTTGGCAAAATTGCAATACAACTAGCCAAATACTCACTGACATCAAAACACCATCAAGATTAGCACTAAGTAAAAAACAAAACAAAACAAAACATTGCTTTCTGAGACTAAAAATTACTTGCTATCAACTAAAGCAAACAAAACTTATTAAAACTCGACATTTTGTTCTTCTCTCAGTGTGTTGGGTAAACACAACAGAACCATTTGAGCAGACCAGAATAACAGTATAATTTCTGTAGAATTAAAGGGCTAAGAACTTACCCCTGCTTTCATGATGTCATTTTCTTCTACTCTTATTTTTAGAAAACTCTATATACATTAATCTGGAAGAAGGAATCTAATTATATTTAAATGATGTTTTCTAGTAGTTTCTAGTAGGTTAAGCCAGACTTGCAAATGGCTTAGAAATAACAGGTTTAATAATATTTGCAAAAGGCCTATCTTTGACTGGAAAACTAGACCCATTTTATGTTCATATCTTATCTTCCTACATAGCTATGGCAAGAAAAATAAATTTTGTTCAAGAAAAAGCCATTTGGCTATTTTCCTTAGATCTGCATGCTCAAGTCTAATTTGGTCCAACTCCAATGACTACAAGAAGCCAAAGGTAAATTTATACATATAGCTTATATCAGCTCTAAAAATTACCTTTTGTTCAGAATTCTCAATGAGAACAGGGAAAAACCTCCTCCCAATTGTATAATTCCTCTTCTTTAGCATTTTCTTCTTGAATATTCTTTCATTCAGCTATTCCTTCCACATTTGCTGATTATAATATGTCTATCATTCTGATAGGGTCTGTGGAGGAAATAAAATATGGGAAACACATCTTTACTCTCACAAGATGTTCAGTTTAGTTGGAGAAATAAGACATATACATACATCCCTACAACACATAATGGAGGTTTAAGGCTAAGACAGAAATTTTGGCCCCAATTCTTGGGTGGCATTTAAGGTAGAGCTTGTGAAAGATGTGTCTGAGATGAAAGCAGACAAAGAATGTGCCAGAAAATGAGAAAACAATGAGACAGAGAGGGAAAAAAAAGGGACAGCATGACCAGTTTTGTTGAAAGCAAGGCCCATTTAGGGGAGTAGAGAGATATAAAACTGGAAAGGTAGAAGGGGCCAGACTGGAGAATTTTTAATACCAGCCAGAGAAGTCACTAAATACCAGCTGGGAAGGCAAAAAGGAATCACTAAAAGTTCTAACAGAGAAGTGATGTAAAAAAAAATTTTAGGAAGCTGTTAATCTGGTAGGGATGTGCAGATTCCTAGAAGAGGCAAAAACAGAAACTAGAAGCCAGGAGGGTATCATGAGAATCAGAGCATGAAGCAAGGGGGCCAAGTTAGGATCATAGCAGTAAGAATGGAAAAGTGGGGTCTAAAGGAATAGCTAATAAAGAAGAATTGACAGGATGTGCTTAAGCAAATGGATGACAATGGCAAGAGAGATGAACTTGAAGATGACCCCTGTGTAAGCCTGGGCAATGGAACTTGACTATGCAACCAACAAAAATAAAAATAGTGAAGACAGAAATGCTAGTGTGGATAGAAGGAATGTAGATGGAAAGTAAAAACAATAAGTTTAACCTTAATCATATGGAGTTTGTGGTGTGAATAGTATGCCTGTAGTCACTTGGTAGGGAATACGGCACTAGAGTTCAGGACACAGGTTATGGGCTTGTGATTGTAACTTAGGAGTGAGGGGGAAGATGATTCCACAGGCTCACAGAAGGCCATGGAAATAGACAATATGTCAAGAGAGGGGAGCAAGACAAGAACAGAAAAGAGAGTTCAAGATAGAACTTTGGAAAGTGTCTCCCCTTGCAGATATATTTTCCTTTAATATGTTTGGGGAAGGCAGTCCCTGAAGTGTGATTGGCTCTCCATTATCATATTCTCCCCTCAGCTGCTCTCAGAACTACCTTGGGTTGCTTACACTGTTCTTCATCACTTGGACCTCTGTGTCTCCAGTTCTTCTTCAATAATTACACCTGGATATGGTGGTGATGGTGCAGAGATGTCAGCATGTCTCCTTTCTGGGGTATCCTTTATTTATCCATAAAACCACTCAAACAAGGCTCTGGGGCATACTGAAAACTTTATTAGAGTTTTGGGAATAACTACAGGAAATGATATGAGAGAGAGAAGAAAACTTAAGTCTCCATGCTACATAGATTGTCATATCCCAGAATCCTAGAGAAAAGAAAAAGCATTACTCCTTTCACAGTGTACATTTGACTTCTTAGTCTTGTTTTCATGACTTGAAACCTATCCTTCTATTTCTCTCATTAAACAAAAGCCCATTTACCTTTTTCTTGCAAATTTCACACCTCTATTCTGGACCCAGTGGAGTCTCTAACACTGGACCATAATGGAACACATGGAACTCAGGGAGCACAGGAAACTACTAGGACATTTCCCAGAATGTGAGCTAGTCAGTTTAGGATAACAATGCAGGTGGCTTCAGGATAACAGTCTACAGAGGGCTTTCCTACTACAAGTTCAGTCCCTGTTCAAGTATCTTCATGGTGGGAGGTGGGGATAGCCCTCTAAATTGTTCTACAGATAACATGAAAGCACAATCTCACATGCCTTTTTCAGGTACAAACAATTTTTCTCAGAGACAATGTAGTCTAAATACACATTAAGGAAGAGAAACATTTTCCTAAAGGCAATATAACCTATAAAAATTTCCCCAGTTTATTTGAAATAGCTTTTTAGATTGCTAAGCAGAATAATTTTTCCCATTTTTACTCCCCTATTCTAAGATGTGCTTATGGCCCACCTCTGAAACTCTTGGCTTTCTAACAATAGAACCATTTATCTTCCCCCAAAGACCTTGCAGAAACTCTGAAATTATAGTTGTCTTATAAGGAATTTGAGAGAAGTAGCCAGCTACAGTGGCAGAGGCATAATAGTCAGAAATGTAAAAGAATAAGGAAAATAGCAGTACAATTTAGGCCAAGAGAAAAAGAGATTTAGGGAAAAGTAGATCATAGTTTCATGTGCTCCAAAGAAATTAGCATAGAAGACAATGACAAAAGTCATTGCCAACCTAGATGTCATTGGTGACCATCTACAAAAGAGTTTCAAGAGAATGGGTGGGGGTGGAGGAGAAACCATAGAAGTTTTCTCTTCAGGAAAGAACAGCCATGTAAAGAAGGGGGAAAAGGACATGACAGCTTAAGACAGTAGGAGATTGGGGGTAAGGTTTTATTTAGGTGAGAAATCCCTGGAAAATGTTATAAACAGGAAAGATTTAAGACAGGCTTGTCTCTAGTTGATGAAGCATGGTGAGATGGAAATTAGAGGAGATAGGAGGTAGAAAGCTGAAGCTATGTTAACAAGATTTGACTGATTTTATTTTGAGAAAGGAAGGAAGTAGACAAAAATATAGAAAGATACAAAAACAAATAAACAATCAAATAATTTAAAACAATACTGAGAGAGGAGGGCATTGAGAAAGATATGTTTCCTCAAATGAACAAAAAGCCAAACCATCTGTTGGGACTGAAGAAGTGAAGTTGGTTTGGAAGTCTGAAGGTTGTGGCAGAGAACTCAATGGCTCCTACATGGAATTTAAGAGGAAGCAACAAAAAGAGTAGAATAAAAAACCACCAGACTTCCTTTACAGATAATTTAGACCAAACTTTGCAATGAGTACAATTAGAAAAGCTAACAAAATATAAAAATCAACTACTTGATGGTGATAAAGGCACTAAGAATTACCCTACTAGATTCAGGAGATAATCCAGAGAGGTACGCTTGATATTAGAATTCCTTTCCCCTTGGGTGTGTTTGCTACTTCCCACAGAGACATCTGAGCAGTGCTTTTGCCAACCTTATGGAGTGAGAAGTATAAAAGTAGGATCCCAGAGACCCTGAAGATTAGGAAGGAGAAGGATCCCTAATGAATTTCCTGTGTTGTCAGTTGAGTCTCCACAGGACCATAGGAAAACTAGAAGCAAACTAAGACCACCAAAAATTGCAGCCCAGCTTCAAATCTTCTCAATTCCTGAAAGTGCATAATGTGATCCTGGATTGCTACATTTTTCTAGGAACCTGCTGGAAGCAAGTACAGATCTTCTTTTTTCTTTTTTAATTTTTTTAATGTTTATTTATTTTTGAGAGAGAGAGAGACAGAGCGGGAGTGGGTGAGTGGCAAAGAGAGAGGGAGACACAGAATCCAAAGCAGGCTCCAGGCTCTGAGCTGTCAGTACAGAGCCCAACACAGGGTTCAAACTCACGAATTGTGAGATCATGACTTGAGCGAAGTCAGACACTTAACCCATTCAGTCACCCAGGTGCCCTGCAAGTATAGATCTTCTATGGGAAAAAAATAATGTTATTCTAGGCCTCAAATGTTTTCTACAAACAAATATTCAAATATTGCTTCTAGCACACAATGAGAATAACCAGACATACCAAGTATCCATGGATTAATTAATGGTTAAGCAAAATGTTTACTATTATGGAATATTATCTAGCCTTAAAAAGGAAGGAAATTCTAACACATGCTATAACATGGATGAAACTTGAGAACATTATAGTAAGTGAAATAAGCCGATCACAAAAAGACAAATGCTATATGATTCTACTTGTATAAGGTACCTGGAGTAGTCAAATTCATAGACACAGAAAGTAGAATGGTGGTTTCCAGGGGCTGACAGGAGAGGGGAAATGAAGAATCATTGCTTAATGGGTACAGAGTTGCATTTCTGCAAGATGGAAAGGTTCTGGAGATGGATGGTGTTGATGTTTGCACAACAATATGAATGTACTTAAAACTGCTGACTGTATGCTTAAAAATGGTTAAGACAGTCAATTTTTTGTTAGTGTGTTTTAATAAAATAAAAAATTTAGAGAAGTGAAGAAATTTCTAAATCAAAACAATGAGAGAGAAATGAAGACATTCTCAGATAATCAAAAGATAAGAGAGTTTGTTGCCACTAGACCTGTCCTACAAGAAATGCTAAAGGATGCAGGGCGCCTGGGTAGCTCGATTGGTTAAGCATCCAACTCTTGATTTCAGCTTAGGTCATGATCTCATTGTTCATATGTTTCAGCCCTGCTTTGGGCTGAGTACTGACAGCATGGAGTCTGCTTGGGACTCTCTCTCTCTCCCTCTCTCTCTGTCCCTCCCCTGCTCATACTCTCTGTCTCTCAAAATAAATAAACAAACGTTTCTGTTAATAATAATAATAAAAGAAATGCTAAAGGGTGTCCTCCTGGTTGAGCTGAAAAGAAACTAGACCGTTACTTGATGCTGTAAAAAGAAATAAAGATCTCTGGTGAAGGGGCACTTGGGTGGCTCAATCAGTTAACTGTCAGACTCTTAGTTTTGGCTCAGGTCATAATATCATGGTTCATGAGCCCTGCATGGGGCTCCTCACTGTCAGCACAGAGCCTACTTGGGATTTTCTCTCTCCCTCTCTCTCTCTGCCTCTCCTCCATTTGTACACACATGCTCTCTCTCTCTCTCTCAAAATAAACAAATAACCTTAAAAAAAAGATTTCTGGTGAAGGCAAATACATAGATAATTATAAAATCTAGTATTATTGTAATTTTGGTATTAACTCCACTTTTTAAAAACATGGTTTAGGGGCACCTAAGTGGCTCAGTCAGTTAAGTGTCCAACTTGGCTCAGGTCATGATCTTGCAGTTCTGGGGTTTGAGCCCAGCATTAAGCTCTGTGCTGACAGCTCAGAGCCTGGAGCCTGCTTTAGAGTCTGTGTCTCCCTCTCTCTGCCTCTCCCCCCCCCCCCGCCTCAAAAATAAATAAACATTAAAACAT